AGAGAGAGAGAGAGAGAGAGAGAGAGAGAGAGAGAGAGAGAGAGAGAAAAGAAAATTAAAAAAGAAAGAAAAAAGGATGAATTCTTTAAACACTTCGCATCAGGTCGTATAAGTTGCACAAAATGTGATGTACATTATTGATCGATTCTTAGTTTTAAGTAGCGCTAAACACAAAAAACACTCGAACCATACGACTTTCATGCAGACGTATTTTAAATATATTACAGGTACTATTTACATAATCGAGCAGAGTCCTGATAATTCTTGGCCTCTTTCCACGGGGGGTAAGTTTGAGAGTTTTCTACCTTGCAAAGCAGGTTTTATAGAAGCAGGCACCAAAGGTTCTACTGCTTCTTCAACGGGTGCCTCGGTTACAGGTTTTTCCTTTGCTTCTTCTGGTTCCTTATTGATACTCAACGGTTTTGTGATATTAATTTTAATCCGCGATGGAGCTGCCGGAATGGCTGCAGGTGTAGAATCTAATTCTACATTTCCATCGATAGAACTCTTGACAGCGGCATACGTCGTATCAGCTGTTGCAGGTTCGGTAATGACACTCTCTTCGGGGTCTAATTGTAAAATTATTTTTCGTAGTTTACAAAAGTTAATATATACGGTGATAATAATAATAATAATTATGCATGCAAAAGCACAAGACGTACCTGGTTCCGGTTCTACAGGTTCTTCTTTAACTTCTACGTTAGTAAAATCGAATTGCTGTTCTTCTAATTGTTCCTCGGGCTCATCAATTGGCTCTTCTTTAATTTTAATGTTTTCGAAAGATTTATCCATGTTCTCTGTTTCGCATGTTTCCGTCTCCATTGCCGTTGACGTGGCCGCGATCTCTTTTTCTACGTTATCAGCGTCAATCACCTCCTCGCTATTGTTTTTTAAATCTTGTTCTTTGTCATTGTGTTTGATATCTGCGTTATTTTCCACCATAGCTTCTTCTCCTTTGTTTTCGGTTTCAGAAACTTGTTCCACGTTATTTTCTATTATTTCATCAGGAGCATCTATCGTTTCAATTTCCGAATTTGACTCCCCAGCGCTCAATTCCTCAGTCTTATTTTCTTCTGCAAGTATTTCATCGATGCTTTCCTTTTTTTCATCTTCCATTTCCTCAATTGTTTCCTCAAGCGCTAACGCAGATTTTTCCAATGCTCTCTAATGATGTAAAAAAGCAGAATAGTATTAGTAATGTCGATTTCTATAAGTAATATAAACTAAGAGTAAAAGTGTAAGTTACTGGTAACTATAAACATGCAACGTAATATTACACAAACAAAAAGTTGATGGTTATCTTAATTTCCGAGAATGTATTCAACACACGCGATAGCGTACAAGTACACGCAAGTAATTTATGAGACTATAGAATGTTTACTATCGTATTACCTTTGTATCTAGTTATCTATAAAATACTAAAAATTAACACATGACAAAAAGAAACCGAATTTTTCATACATATCTCTATAAAAATATTATCTTTATACATATAGTATATGAAAGAGTTAAAAAAAGAAAGAAACTAAAATTGTATTTGCAGTTTTTACGTTACGACTCTTAGTGTCTAATTACTTCCACTATATCTAGATGTAAATATATTTCCTGCAAGTGCAATATATGAATAGTAATTATTTAAGAAGCACATACCACAAGACTCTTTTCCTATTTTTTTTTTGTTTGTGCAAGAATGCAACAAATGGAAAATTCGTTAATAAATTTATACCGAGATGTAGTCGATCGCAAATGTGGTTGAAAATTTTAATGCAACATGCCCAACACAGAAATAAAAGAAAAAAACTAACCTTGTAGTCATCGAGACATAGCGGATGATAATTCTTGTCTTCGAAATTAATTGCAGGTCTTAAATGCCATTCTTCTTTCTCTTCGTTGTAAAATTGTTCAAATGCATCGTGGCACACTTGGCACCTGGAATCCTCGTCGGATCCAGTAGGAACGCTAGGTAGCAATGTTTCTTGAGGAGAATCTTCCGTAGCAATACCTTCCGTATCTGCCGTTTGTTTTTCCGTTTCGAACCAACTTTGTGCTAAACAAGAAAAAGAACATATTTCATACTTTTTTGATACTAATAATAGTAAATTATAATAATTGAAAGGATCAATAAATCATAATATTAATTAATTAAAATTAATACAAATTAAAAGATTACTGTAATGTACTATGACGTATAATATAATATTGTTTTGTTCGTGGAACTTTTGTAAAAAAATGTAGTGAATTCGATATGCTCAAAGTTATTTTTCCACTCTTTACCTCTATCTTCCAGGTCTTCGATTTCTTCAAATTGTATCCAATCGCTAACATCGTAGTACCAAGGTCGCGAATGAGCTTTCCTCGCGGAATCTCTTTCTCGCCTATTCTGTCTGAAGTGCCAATCCAAATGATGGCTGTATCGAGTCGCTAGTTCAGGAGCAAATCTAGCACCGCAGGAACTACACTGCATACCGCTGTATAATGCTGCCGAGATAGCTGGTTGTTTACTGCGTAAAAAGAAAAAGAAACATTTTCTATTCATAATAATCAGAAGAATAAGAATTGTCGATTTCTAGTTATATGACAGTTTTTTTTTTTTTTTTTTTTTTTTTAACCTGTATATTTGGTAACACTTACACTTTGAGTGTCTCTGGTTTATCGAATGAAACAGGAATAATTTCGGGTTCTTTCTTTTCTTCTTCCTCTTGCTTCTTTGGCTCGGAAAGGTTCGGCACGATACCAGTCTCGACCAATCTCTGGAACAACTCGTTCATATTCAATGGTAAAGATAACGCTGGAGTGGCTGCTGTTGTATTTTCAGCTGGCTCGGCTTGATACGACAATCCGGATGCTGGCGCCATTGCAGATGGCAAAACCGAAGATAACATGTCTAATTGTAAATCTGAAAGGAAATGAATTTTCGCTACAAGACTAAATGAAATATAGTATAGAAAAATGTACTAAAGGTAGACTCGAATCTACCAAATTATACGTTACGTGTAATATATTTTTGTAAACACAATATTTACCCGGTTTAGGAGTCGATCTAAGATCAGAACCGTCTTGGGATTCTGTTGATTCTGGTTCGACGGACGAGAATTGCGTCGGTGCAGCGGTTGTATCTACTTTTGGTTTTTGCGTTAAGAGAGGCGGAGTAGGTGGTGACTCGATAGGTTCTTCGCCTCTCATGCCTGCGATCTTAACGTATCCCGGACGAACTCCTCTTGGCAATACCGAAAATCTTATAAAATGTTTCTTATCCCTAACGATAATAGGTTTTGGCAATCCTCCGAATTCGACTTTAAATGGACGCCCATTCAAAAGAACTGTTTGCAACGAGTCTATAAACTCGAGTGTATGGGGTTTTCCTTCGATTTCGAATCTATGAAGATACGTTAATTACAGTCACTTAAAAATTTGAATATTCGGATTCGTGAAATTGTACCGTCAACTTACATTTGTGGTTTCGCATCCAAAAAGACGGGAACCATATTTCGCGCATTAATGATAAGATTTATTTTGGCAACTACCAAGTCTGTTCTCTTTACAGTACCAATTTTTACTTGAGGCGGAGGCCCTTCCAATTTCACGCTAACTTTTTTACCACCAAGATCTATCGTTACCGGCATACCACCAAAATAACACTCGTACCATCGGTCATCGACGTACAGTTCTCTTGTAGGAGCACCTAATTTAATTCTGGAAACATAATAATATAAACAGGTGATCGGCACTCTAAATTAAACTAATTAAAACGTTTATCAAATAATATATAATGTAAATTATACTTATTTAGAGTATAATGTTGTATATTTTTTAAATTGAAACATTACGATGAATATATACACATACCTATGAACTTCACCTTCGTACATAAATTCTTTGTATTGATCGTTAAATGCACAAGTGATAGTGTCCTTGTCATCGATTAAAATTCGTCTTATACCATCTTGGAATCCAATTTCTCTAGGATCGTCCCAGTTCATAAAAACAACGCCAGTTTGTCCGTAATATCGAATTTCACGTGGTATATTATCAATGTTTATAGATTTCATGGTATCTCTCGCGATTTCGTCCAATAATTTCGGATCTGGCGGTGGTAATTCACGACTATGAGGATTTTGACTTTTCATCATTGTAGTATAATTTTGATCGGCATCTTCGGAATCATATTTCGAGGACGAGTTTGGCGATAGATTTCGTGGGGCGTTCAAGGAAGTGATGTTTGGATTGGACAAAAGATTCGACATTGGTCCGTTGTTCATCATTATTCCAGGTCCGTTAATTCCTGGTAACGTTATAGATGGATTAGGCATACCCATCGGACCGATTGGGCCATTCGGCAAAAGATTCGGCATAAGTGGCCCATTAGGTCCCATAGGTCCCATCATTCCAGGTCCCAAACGAGGATTTGGGCCAAGATTATGATTGAAACCGCCGTGATACTGATAATCAGGCCGTATCGGACCAAAGTGTCTTGGATTTTGCCAGAGGCCGACAGGCCTGAGTTCCGAGTTAAAGTGTCCTTGCGGTCCGTATGGTGGTCCTGGTGGATGAGCCCATGGTCCTGGTTGTTGCCATGGCTGACCTTGCCATCTTGGACCATTAGGATTTCTTGGAATAGGATGATCTTTACTTCTCATTACTTCTTTATCGTTCGAAGGACTGAAGGTGGGTGCACGATCTCCTGGACCAGTCATATCCAAATTCACACCTTTTTCCCAAACGATAGAACCTACCTCTTTTTCTTTTCGTTGCGCGGCTCTTAATTTGCGATCTTCGCTCATGTGTAAAACCTCCTGTATAAGAGTATTATATTGTGTTTTAGTTATCGAACCTTGGTTCAATTGTTCGGCGGCTTGTTTCATTATTATCTCGATATTTCTATCTTCGTTTCTTTCGGGTTTATCATTCTCTCGCCCTCGTCGTCCTGGTCTATTATCTTGATCTTCGT